GATCCTCTCTGCTACAGACCCACTTATACATAACATCTCCAGAGCCCAACTCAGATCTGTTGTTTACCGTTGCATCAATGCGGAACCATCTAACGATATGATTGATGACTTTCGATCCGGTTCCCACGAAGGTCCATTAAAAAACGACATTCCTGGATCTTTAAAGAGCGCAAAAGCCGATACGTTCGCAACTCTCGTCTCCCTGTCCATGCCACATGGCCGCCGTCCACCTCTCCACGACCGCACGCGTGTGTGTGTGAAAGAACCGCGAGAGTCTCGGTGGGCGATCACCACAGACTTGCCGTGCTCGTGCGACGAGTAATCAAGCGCTTGTCGACGTCATAATCGCTCGCAAGCGAGCTTCTTCTCACCGCGTTTTCGTAGCACGAGTGTTCGGTAGAAATATGTGTGGCAAACGGCGAAGAAGGCATCGCTTCTCGGCCTTTTGGCTCCGTATATTTAGCCTATTTATATATCTGTTGTTATGGAATAAATTTTATATTGGATTAACCGTAAAGGTCTTGTGAATCTAGTCGTTATAATTTTAAACTGATATTTCGCCATTGTCAAGTATTATTTGGATCCATCAAAATTTCTCTGTGAACTGGAATTTATGAGTATATTGTCTTGTCAAAGTTTGGTGTCCTAATGTGCTATTGTTCCTGATTTATTTGGATTATATCATTTTGGGACGTTTACATATTTTGAATTTTAATCATATACGTTGTCTGGTGTCATTGGTGTCTTTGTGCGTAATATTACCGTCAGCCGTTCGTTGTGGACGTTTTTCATCGTTGGATTTGTATTTGTCTCATCTTTTGGAACATTTTGATATATATTTTGTTCAGTTTTGGATAGTTTTTCGTCCAGTATTGGTGTTTTGGATTATATAGCGTATCGTACTATATTAATTGTTTTCATCCCGGTGGAACTAAACTTTTGCCCATAAATCTGGTATTATTTCAGTTATACGTTCGAAACTTTCAGGATTTATAGTTATCCATTAGCCTGATATTCCCAACAAGTTTGGTGGTTATAGCTGTTAAGGAATTCAAACTACAGAGATTTACGCATTTTCCAACCGTCACTTTGTTATTGAATTTGTCATCTAATTACTATTCGAATTCCTGATTTCCAAACAATTAGGGGATTTCCCGCATTACGTTGTATATCGCTGGCGATATTATTCAATAGACGGTGATTGCACTTGGCCCCGGTATATTATATTGGGTTTCCTTCTAGTTAATTTAAGGTGTCGTGTGTTCTACTATCTTCGTCCCGTTTGCATAAGTAATAATGAGCGGTGATGTTAACGATTCTAATTGTATTAATGGTGATTATAAATGCAGTGATTGTGAATTTGTCTCTGACTCTCAAGGTGGTCTTGGAGTACATCGAGTGAAAAAACATCCTTTCTGTCTCAGTTGTTTGTGAATACCCCCAAGGGAAGTCATTCTATTGCTGCACTTGCAACAATATTATCAAATCTTGGCCGAATTTCAAGAGACACTATAAGAATATCCATCCAAAAATTCCATTGTCCACTTCCGGTTTGTGTACCCTTGTGTAATAGAGTCTTTAGTGAGCTGAAAGGTGTTGGTGTACATATGAAACGTGAACATGACATTTCATCCTCGTCATCTATTCCTCCATCCTCTCCGTCCCCAATCATGTCTACAGCTAATTTTGCTGACAGTCGACATCCAAATGATTCGTGCGCGTCGGAATTATCCTCTTCCGTTTCATCCTCCTCATCCTCACGAGCTAAATCTGCGAGACGAAGTCGCAGAACGAAATTATCACCGATTAGTCAATCTCCCAATCATTCCCCTATCATATCCTCAACCATTATTCCATCAACAAACCCTCCCTCCTTTCCTTCCCCTCCTATCTCCCAAATTCCTTCTACCACCGAACCCGTTCTTGAATCATTGGTCGCCTTAAATGGTTGTACTGATGTGCAAAGTGACTCCCCTACCTCACACAGCCCTGATACTCCTAAACCTCTTGATCCAATGGTCGCCTTAATTGGTTGCACTGATGAGGATAGAAGTCCCACCATTACCCATTCCCCTCCTGATACTGAAGTTGTTATTAATCCTTTGGTCGCCTTTATTGGATGTACTGATGATGTAACTGCGTCACACAATCATGGTCCTCTTCCTACACCCTCTCCCCCTAGTGAGAACGTTCCTAACCCTGTCATCCGTGATCTCTCTCCTGATGATGATGATGATGACCCTTTTGATATCCCCCCTCCCCTTTCTCCTCCTCGTCCCTCATCCCAATTCTCATTCCTTAGCAGACCCCCTTCCCCTCCATCTTCCCATACATCACCTTACTCCCTGAATCCCTCTGCTCCTGTTTTTCAATCAACTCAAAATATTTCCCTTTCACCTCCACTCGGTGCCATTCCATCTTCGCCCATCAATGGTTCCACCTCTTCTAATGTTGATGATTCTATCCCAACCAATTCATCACCTGATGCCCCCACCGAATATTCCTCCAAATTCATCGAGAAATGGTCGTCATCTTTCACTGCCAATTCCAGCTGGCAAGAATTTTCTGAACAGTGTGATCAGTTTGCTAATGACGTCGTCTCTGAATGTGAGAGTAATTTCCAGAGTAAGAAGAATGCTGTTCCCTGCCGTCCTGGTCGCCCTTCTGCTAGGCCTATTAGTAATAACCGGAGGCCTCTTCAATACAACCCTATTGGAGCCCGGAGGATCCAGAGTCTATACCGAATTTCGAAGAAACGTGCGGCGAGACAAGTAATCAGTGATAACAAACCCTCTTACTCCGGTTCGGTGGATGAGGCAAACGAGTTTTTCTCACGAGTATTCAGGGAGAAAACTGTTGATGCTGATGCGGTGAAGAAAGGATTGGATGAGTTTGTTCCTTCTGGGCCGAAAGACAATACTCTTGGTGACCCTATTACATCGGCAAAAGTTTCCAAGAAGCTGTGCTTCTTGTCGAACTCTGCCCCTGGCGCTGATAGAGTTGAGTATCGTCACCTCAAATCTGTAGACCCTAAAGGAGTGATCTTGTGTAACACCTATAACCGTTGTCTCCTTGAGAATGATGTCCCTGTTCAGTGGAAGTCGTCTCGGACAGTTCTTATTCATAAGAAAGGTGATGTTAGTGATGTCTCTAACTTCCGACCTATTGCACTTATGAGCTGCATATATAAGTTGTTTATGAGTGTAATGGCTGAGCGTTTGGTGAACTATTCTATTGAGAATAACTTACTATCAAGTTCCCAGAAGAGCGCGAGACCCACGGAAGGTTGTTATGAGCACACATTCATTTTACAATCCCTTGTCCTTGACGCCAAACGACACCAGAAAAACCTATTGCTTGCCTGGTTAGACCTTCGAAACGCATTTGGTAGTGTTCCTCATGATGTCATTTCGGTCACCTTATCCCATCTTGGTGTTCCTGACTCTGTTGTGAATCTTGTTAAGAATGTGTATACGAATGCCACCACTGAAGTTCGTACACCGGCCGGTATCACCCCTGGTATTCCCATCAACGCGGGTGTCAAGTAAGGATGTCCGTTATCCCCAATTTTGTTTAACATGTGCATTGAAATCATCCTTCGTGCTGTCTCTTCGGCAGGCCACAACAACGGTCCTGTTAAACACTATAATGGTGAGATATCTGTCCTTGCCTACGCCGATGATCTCGTTCTTATCTCCAAAAACACGGAGAATTTACAACTATTACTAGATGCTGCCAGTTCGTCCGCCGATCTTATTGGTCTCGAATTTCGTCAAGATAAGTGTGCATCCTTAAGCATGACCTATAACAGGAGATGCAAGACAACATCCAGCTAAATAAGCTCAAAGTGCAAGGTAAAGTCATTCCCGCCCTTAAAGAACACAAACACTAGAGATACCTTGGTGTACCTATCGGTATGATTCGCGACGTTGACTCCCTTGATTCCTTAGTTGATGATTTATGTAGAGATCTAGACCGAATCAATTCATCTTTGCTGGCTCCGTGGCAGAAACTGGACGCCATTCGAACATTTGTCCAACCTTGCCTCACATTCGCATTACGTGCTGGTGAACCCCAGAAAGCTTCCCTCGTTTCATATAGAAAGAAGTTAATCGAAGTTGTTCGTTCAATCTGTAACCTTCCCCTTAGAGCTACTTCCCACATCATATTCGCCTCCTCTAAAGCCGGTGGCCTAGGTTTTCAAGACCCCCTAGCCGAGGTTGATATCCAAACGGTTGTGCAGGCTATCAAGATGTTATCTTCCAGTGATCCTTTCGTCTCTGCTGTTGCCATTGGTGAGTTGAGGAAAGCCGTAACGTTTGCTACCCGATCTGATTCATCTCCTGCCTTGATCCGTGATTTTCTATCCGGATGCACCCAAGGAAAGTTCCATCCTAACCGCATGCGTTATCGCACCCACTCCCTCTGGACCCGAGCGAGGTCAGCCTGCCGCCATCTGGGCCTAACTTTCAACGTACCAGACAACGAAGCTCCGTCAATTTCCACTGACACGAAAGGTCCTTGTCTTGCTAAATCTGCATCTTCCTTCCTACACCATCTAGTGCAAGAGCGTGCCTCCTTCAAACTATTGGCTCTTCCTGATCAAGGTAAAGTTGCGAGGGCATTGATCAAGGACGCTTTCAGCAACGGATCATCGTGGATCTACACGGGTTTAAATTTAAGATTCAAGGATTGGAGGTTCATCCATCGTGCAAGGTTAAATGTCGTACCAACAAATCAGAATAAATCCTGTTGGTCGGACTGTTCAACTCTCTGCCATGTATGCAACTCCAATCCGGAAACCTCACCCCACATTGTCTGTCACTGCAAAAGCAACATGGTCCAAATTCGTGAGCGACACAACACTATTGTAGAGCGCCTACATAAAGCAGTTCGATATGGCAGGGTGCGCATTGACCAACAGGTTCCTGGAGTTAACGACAAATGCCGCCCAGATATCCTTATAGACGAAGGCCGGGAAATCACCATCATTGATGTCACCTGTCCGTTCGATAATGGAGATGATGCATTGGCCACTGCTGATTACAACAAACTGCTAAAGTACAATCACCTGAAACAGCATTTCCATCAACTAGGTATCAAATGTAACCTCTATGCTTTTGTGATCGGCGCGTTAGGTACATGGCACCCAAATAACGAAGCTGTCCTCAACCAACTGCGTATGTCCAAGACCTACAAATCCTTATTCCGCAAGCTGTGTTGTTCTGATGTGATACGTGGTTCTGCTGAAATTTATTATAAGCATATGAATGACACTCAATGAACTTTAATATATATATAGAATGATATATATTCTAACTTATACTTAGGTAGTAACTTGTTGTAAGGAAATATTGTCTTTTATTTCCAGTCTTGTTTCTCTATATTTAAATGTACATACTAGTATCTTATACTTACATATTCACATCTTTACAAAAAGAACATTGAGGCAATTGAAATATCAATAGTGTAGTTAATCGTGAACTTCAATTACGAACTTCCGTTAAAGTAGGAGATAATGAGTGAATTAGTTTCTCATCCTTTTGAACAATATCAGCTCTGTCCATAGCATGCTTAAATAGTAACTATCAAGAATTTGTAAATAATTTGATTTTGACCTGAATAAATTTGTTACAATCTGTTCTTATCAGCTTAATATCTGATATGTTAGGCAATGCCTAACTCATATATTAAACTGATTTTTGGACTTCGGCCATGGGATTGAAGCTTGCTTCGCCCTGGCCACGGGTTGTCTCGGTATTGCACTACATCCGAGTATGGCCCCTTCCCCACTCGGGGAAGAACATTTTTTTATTTCAAAAACAAATCAAACTATAAAACAATCTCCAGGTTATTAAAAGATTACACACACACTTAAGTACACGGGGGTTTTCACATGCCGATAGATTTATATTAACACCATACTCTCGAATAGCACGTGAAATATAATCACGGCTCAGTCTCATGCATATGTAACATACATATCATATGACTTGTAACACTTTATTATTATCCAATGTCGATATTTTACACCTTGTGAGCGTGCTTTCATTCAACTATGAACCGAATCGACTACATATAATTTGACTAACATACTTTCTCACTCTCTAGATCGCGGCACATGACGTTCAAGACAAGAGGGAAACCCCCGAACTACCACAATCGCGTCTCATCATCATCGCGTATATAAGGTGAGCGCCGTAAACAACAGCATACTTACCTGACGCGAGAGGCACCTTGATCAACTAGGAGGTCCTCTCAGGATGAGGCCCTTTCACTGCACTTCGACTGGGTTGACTCCTGCGATTACCCCTAATGTGGGTAACTCGAGCGTATAATTTCTGGTAGTGGGGACCTGCGTTCGCGCTCGTCCCCTTCAACATATATATTCATGTATAAAAAGCCGTTTTTGTTTCTAACACTGCCGCCGTGTGTCGATTGCTTTTGTATAGAATCAGATGTCAAACGGTATCATTTATCACAGAAGACACTCTATATATATATTCTCTGTGCCGAAATCTCCATCTCGTGTTCATATTATATGGTAAGTAAAGCTATACACGTTTATATTTTGTAAGCACTTCGAGTCTTTGCACACTATTCAATCGATTCGCTGTATAAAGTCACTTGCTTGCCAACGCAATTTCAAGCCATCGCACGTACATTCCAAGTGCCGATTAACTGGCTCGCATGTCACTCAAGCGCACGTGTTTTGCTGGTCAAACTTATAGAATACCAAGTAAACATTTATTCAAACATCGCATTATTTCACGGTGCGTGACCCGAAACCTTTCCGGGTCACAACGCAATTTGCGAGCGAAAGAAGCTCGGCGCATTCGTGGATCTTTAAAGAGCGCGAATGCCGATACGTTCGCAACTCTCGTCTCACCGTCCATGCCACATGGCCGCCATGCCCCTCTCCACGACCGCACGCGCGTGCGCGCGAGAACCGCGAGAGTCGCGTTGGGCGATCACCACGGACTTGCCGTGCTCGTGCGACGAGTTATCAGGCGCTTGTCGACGTCATAGTCGCTCGCAAGCGAGCTCCTTCTCACCGCGTTTTCGTAGCAAAAGTGTTCGGTACAAATATGTGTGGCAAACGGCGAAGAAGGCATCGCTTCTCGGCCTTTTGGCTAAGATCAAGTGTATCTTAGTGCTCCGTTAAAATTTTTTAAATTTTGTTCCAGTTTGAATTTATTCAAACAACCAGCCATACAGCCATCTGAGTCTGCGCAGTTGAGAGGTCTTTTAGAGACACTCAGCTAAACTCTCTCTTTTGGTTGGCCTTGCTGCTAAGGTAGGATCGCGCTAAGTTTCTTTATTAGTTTAGGCTGATAAAGTCTCTTAGGTTTTAGGTTTGTGTACTAGCGGGTTTTGTTTAACTGCGGTTATTCAGAACTTTATAGGCACTCTCGTATTTAGCTACACTCGGCCGTTTTTTTAGGAACGCTTCGCTGTCTTGTGTAGTGGCCTGAGTGTCTAAGTTACTCACAAACTTTAGACTCGACAAGCTCGGGCTTGTGTTTGAGTATTTCCTCTAGTGTTTTTACAGCTTTCCTGTTGTATAGCGCCGTGTTTTTCCCTCGGACTGCAAGGTTTTTTCCCGCGAGGCTATATCAACTTGACAAGAGGTAATTACACTCGCGATCTAGGTCTCCCTTTCCCTTGAGAAAGGCTTGAGGTCAAAATAATAAACTTACCCGTGCTGGGGCTAGTTTATTCCCAGATTGATACGAAATTCTCGCTGTCTTTTCGATCAGGCTACTCTAAAACATTTTTTTTTTTTTCTCAGCACCTCCTCGGCGTATACCGAGTTTGAGTTTGTCCGGTTACTGGTAATTTGCCGATCTCACTCGAATTTATCCGCGTGGCAGTAAACTATACCTGTTACCTCGACCCACAAAGGTAAATTCGCAGTATTCGCGACCTGGACTAGTACATCCGTGCCTCGACTACAGTAATCGCGACTACTGAGCAAATTATTAGCCAAGCTAGGTCTCCTCTGTGCTTTCAGAGTTTGACTAAAATTTGTAGTACTGACTGGTTGTGGTCAGGAGCTGCTTCTAGCTTGTAGATTTATTTTCGTTGAACTTTTCTCAAAACACAACTATCATCCAGGTTTCACCAGACGTTTTTTATAAATTTTTGAATAGTCTAACAAACCTTTGATGATTTTAAATAAGTTGATCTTTACAAGTCCTATTAAGTTTTCTTCTCTCAACAATGAGCTCTCCGCTAGCTCATTCGCCACTTCTTCCCGGCGACCGACCCGTT